CCCACATAGACAATGTGGGTATAAGACGAAGTGGTAAGTGCTCTACTTATCCCCATCCCATAACCATCCAAATAATAAAAAATACCTTCATCCTTGTCTCATTAGGGGCGAGTCTCGTATTGTCGTTGCTATCTTGTACAACAATGCTAGTTTTGCCACCCTATCCCTATTCTGCTATGATGATTTGATGTTTGCTTAACTTGAACTAATATAACTTTATCATGTCCTTAGTTGAGATTACCTAAGGTATACGACACCTAAGTGATATTTGTTTATAAGGGTTAGCCTAGACCTTAATCTTATGTAATCTACAAAGAATCAACATAAAGAAAATAATGTTAGAAAAATGAATGAGTGGGTGATATATCATTGTTGTACTTTAAAAGTATATAATAATTGAGATCACAAGCAACATAAAAGAATCAACTTTTATTAAGCATAAAAGACTAAAAAATGGGTTAAACGAGCATATACAAAAAGAGTTTTGAAGGTAAATACAAGCCTAATATTTACCTAACACTTTTGTCAAATAGAAGATAGGCATTCTAAAGACGTTATATCACCCCTTATATCACCCCTCAGATATATACACACAAGGCTCTATCCACTCCGATGGCACTAGGCGATTCCAAGGAAAAAATATAAAAAAATAGTTCCATATGCCACAAGTTAATTTTTATTTGACAGCTTTGTGATATGAAATAAAAATGTAACCGAGTTATAAAATAGAAATACAGATAATAAACCAAAATGGAAATGATGATAGTATTTTTTGCTCCATACACGTTGCCAAAAAAAATCACTCAAAAATATCAAAAACAATGAAAAACAAAGACTAAAAAGAGGTAAGGACATGCATCGAGCATTTTGATTAAATTGCTCACAACACGATATAGGTTCATTGTAGGATCAAAATCATTCGATTTATCTTAGTCCATATATACCAAAAATCATTACACCATATCTGAGAAATTTTTATATTTTATAATATTTATCACATGTATATAAGAGGTGAGTTTGTCATCACCAAAGTTGGTAATTTCGTGCACCGATACTGTGACACTCAGGTTTTGAATCAGTATTGAGACTTGGTAAATCAAATGTGGATCGAGTATTAAATGAAAAAAATATAAACAAATACAACATTATACGGAGCCTATACTGTCATGTACTTGGTGCTATGAGGCCAATATAGTATCGGTCCCGTTGGGTTTAACCGATGTTTTGGTTCGGTTCGGTTCGGTTCATCTACTCATATCGAAGACTCGGTCGAGTCACTTAGTACTTTAAACATATATAGAAAACTAATATGAGTAGATTTACTCATCTACTAATATCAGTTGAGATGGCCGAGTTGGTATAAGGCGCCAGATTAAGGTTCTTGTCCGAAAGGGCGTGGGTCCAAATCCCACTCTCAATAGATGTTTTTGTGTTTTACCCACGTGGAAGATGTCTTCCATCCTCACGTCTTCACCGACCAACCTCAAGCAGCTCTCAAAGAGGAGGAGGAGCGAGGACTACAACCACTTCCATCCTCCAGAGGTCACAGGCAATACAATAAATACTACTAGTACACACAGGCAATACAATAAATGATATCTATCGCTTCCATCACGAGAGCTCGGAGCCATCCCACTTGTTTATAGGTTATAGAAAAGATGCTCGTAGAGATTGCACGAAATAATATAAAACCGTTTGTCATCTACAGTACATACAGAGCAGAAAATAAGAGAGGAGACGACGGAGATAAAAGATATTTCCCCCACGCAATCGTACAACATCAACACCTCATCTGTTCATAGAGATTGGAGGATAATTCCAAAGCATTAAGCTGTATAACATATTCCAAAACAACAAGTAATTGGAACTTTCGATCGACAGTATGAAAGTTCCAATTACTTGTTGTTTTGGAATATGAAAGTCCATTTGTCGAGCGTCGTCTATCCAGCAACACATTGGACGTCTGGGTCGACTCGAATGAATTGGTTGTCGTTGGCATTGATGCAAACAGATTTCACTGGAGTTGTCACTCCAACCATGGAGAGCTTCACATTCTCCAGGTGGATGCCTTTACATGGAACGCTCTTGCTGCAGAGTATTTTGATGGGGTTCTCCGTGGTGGTCGTCCCAGAAAAATTCACAAACTGCACGTCGCTTATTGCCACCGCGGAGGTCTATTTTCCAGCGTTTTTCCCCAAGTCAAATGATCACTAATATGAGCTGATATAGTAAGATGGATAGCATTCATGTCAAATACTTACTTGGTTTTGGCAACTGTTACCATTACAGTAGAATTGGTCGATCATAATTGGCGTCTTAACCGAGTAGAGCCTCAGATTCTCAAACACGATGCCTCTGACATATCCAGATCCTCCCTGCCATGTCTTGATTCTTGCGCCTGTGAGAGCATCTGTTACACTGGAATCGGATACACGAATGTTCTCAACTGATTGTTCCGCACCATCCCTTCCCAGACTTCCAATGCTGTGAAGAAACATCATGAGAAATCTAGCTAGCAGAATAGTAGAGGCTCTTCTTCTTGATGAGCATAGCAATGAAGTACCTGAAGCCATGGCCAGGGCCGCAACGGACGCGGTTGATGTTGATCTTTGAGCAGTCGGGGCCGATAGCTACGCAATCATCTCCTGCACTCATGGCAATTCAAGAATGCATCAGGACGATCGAGGAGTAGCTTGCAGCAGCACTAATCGACCTCAGAGAACAGCCGTTACTGACCTGTTCCGATAATTGAGCCGGAGACGTCGACGTTCTGGCACCCGGAGAAGAACATCCCGTCTGTGTTGGGGCTGTCGCCCGGCGCTGTTACCTTGACCCAGCTAATCGTCACGCCGACGCATTTGAAGAAGGTCATATGCTTATCGGGGCCGTTCTTTATCGTTATTCCTTTCACATAAAGATCGTTGCAGTGATGGAAGGTTAAGATCTGACCAAACACAATAACACGAGATCAGAATGGCTTCGTTCTAAGATCAACAGTGTTACGTAGGTCTCATCAGTGAGGTTGACACTTACGAAAGGCCGATCCGAAACTTGCTGTGGTTGACAGAGACAAGAAAGCAAACAGTCAGTAGGTCAGGCAAGATGCGAGGAAGGTGACAATAGAGTTTGGATCAACGTGTCCACCTTTTTGTTGAAGAGGTCCCACCAGAGTTGGCCTCTGCCATCGATCTGCCCGTAGCCGTGCACGATCAGACGGTTCACGTACGTGAAGGTCAACAAGCTGGCCTTATCGTTCGTCCACTTCGAATTTGGTGCCACAATGTCCCCTTGTAGCTGCAAAAACAAGCATTTCCTTTTGAGGAAGGAATTCACAGATAGTGTTTCCAAGCTCCACTATAGCATCTCTTAACAATTCACCCGAAAATCAATGCTGGATTTGCAGGGGCCCGACAGTGTTATTTCACCTATCAAGAACGTCTTCCCTGAAGGGACGAGAATCACCGGTGATCTGGTATCTGCACAAGCTGCTGCCCATGCTTGTACGAACGCCTGCAAGTCAATACCTGGATCATGAGGAGGAAGAAGAAGGAACGAACAACATGCAACACGATACTACCTTCTTCTTACGTAATGCATGCATGAAGAAAAATGCTTCTGTGATGGGTTTTGAGATCAAGATTCCCAATCATTATTAATGGTTTATAACAATTATTCTCAGGTACATATGAATCTTGATACCATATCAATTGAATCCACTTCGCAAGTAACATTCTAGATTTGGCTCTCTGACAAGAATGGTGAGCTTGACTCCACCATGCTGCTGCCATGGCTGATGTAGTATTTCGTGACCTATTAACTCCACCTCTATGAAGAGGACTGTGCTACCGATCTCATCCCCGAGAGAGAGAGAGAGAGAGAGAGAGAGAGAGAGAGAGAGAGAGCTAG